ACATCCAATACCAGTTTCAGAAACTGCAATAATAATAATATTTTTAAAAAATTTGATTTTTGTTTAGTACATTTGAATACCTGTTACAATTGATAGTAAAAGTTCTAAAAGGGGGTTCTCGTTGCCTAGAGGTTAAGGAGTTCGCCTTTCATTCCAAGGTCCCGGGTTCGAATCCGCGTAGCGACGGATAAAAATTCTTCTCTAAAATTGTCTCCTGTCACCTCCTTTTCTGATCTCTAGCAATGTTCAGTCGTCTGCTTTCATCTCCTCTTTCTGCTCCCACCCCCTCACCTCCTTTGCCCCCTCCTGGCTCTTTCTGCAGCCTTTCTACTGCTACTCCTTGGCTCCTTACTGCTATCGTTCAGCCACACCCCTGATTTTCTGGTAGGAAAGATTGACACCTAGCCTTCTCAGACAAAGGAGAAAAACCTCGGAGGTCCCGTAGGCAAGTTGCGCACGTTAAAGATCCCTTGGTGGTCTAAAATCGATAAGAGTAGGCTTCAGCCGCCACCCGAGCAAAAATCAAAATTTCCTACCGACTGAAAATGTTTAATGTGTCCCGCTTGCTCATATGACCTTATGCAGTTGCGAGCGCCGTAAAACACTTACCTAAAACCGAAAAGAAGAAAAAAAAGTTCAAAACTCCCGTTCAATGAGAGAAGGCAAGCGACTGGAGCACAGTGGTCAGGCAATTCGACACGGTTGCACGCAGAAGACATTAGTTCAATCCCCAAGTAGAAAAGTACGGTATTTATCGGCTTTCTCCGTCCGAGAAAGGAAGTATGGTATTTTTTACTATCTCCGTCTGTTTACTTAGATGCTAAGTGACCGTAGCCACCCACTGACATCGGAATTTCAATTATCGACCCGCAGTAAACGAAACATTTCCAAAAGAGCAACAACAGACAGATATAGACATTCATTCGTACCAACTGCAGTGAGGTTACTGAACACACAGGGCTACAAGTGAAACAGAGCCAGGGAGAGAGAGAGAGAGAGAGAGA